GCATATCTCGGATCCACTGTGATCCCCAAGGGCTGACTACGCGCCGGAAGATGGAGCAGCGTCCGTATCCAGCCGTTATGGATGTCAGCAACCGAGATAGATCGCGCCGTGCCGTTCGTCCAGAATATTAAGCCATGCACCCAGTCATAAGCCAGTGCAAGAGGCGATGTCTCACGAAACTCAGCTCGATTAAGGTCAGTAAACGTCCCGGGAACTCCGGACTCAGCCCTAGCAACCCAGCTGGCTAGCAACGACTCATGTTCATCCGTGGCAACTATTGTATGCAGCGACCACCAGGCGGGTGGCATAGGACCAGGGGAATCTTTGAGGGCATCGCCAACAGAGCCAACTCCTAATCGACGTTCGTCGAGCTGGAAGATATCAGGCGAGGCAGAGAAGATGCCAGGCCAAGGGCTCGACTGAGAGAAGATGAGCTGTAGGGGACTTCCGACAGTTGGCTGTAGCGCCGCTGACCGTCCTCGCTCCACCTCAGCACTTGAACCCGGAGCCAAGCCACGAAGTGAGAAGGCAAAATCAAAGTCAGTAATTGTAGACCACCACGGTGAATCTCTAGGAGCTAAGCTGGTAGAGGAGTAGCTGAGAAAGGAGTCCAAGGCGACTGCGTATCGCCAAATAGCCTAAAGAGAACAAGGAAAAAGATCTCCATCGTTATGCTAACTTCCCAAATGGCAGGAGTCACTAGTTGTTGATAAAAATGGATGCCTAGTGCAGAAGCCAAATAGTTTCATATTTGTGTTTTCCGTGAATAGGTGATGAGGATCATATAATATCAGATAACAAAAATGGACTAATAATGACAATCGTGGGTTCGGAGTGAGAGGTACTTTCGTCGAAGAAATTCGTTTTAAAATGACACTGAATAAACACACTCCTCTTGTATTAGAATGTCCAACCTAATTCCAATGCCGCAAATATCAGGACCGGATAAGAGGCGCACGTAGAAGCGACGCATCGTGACTATCATTCCAAGGAATACCTGATCAGACGAGTTGGTTCGATAGGGTATACAACGCTATAACAAGGCCTCCTAGTTACCAAATAGTCAACCTTTTGGATTTTCTAAAAGGAATCCAATAAGATAATGAACTGCGATGGAAGCGTGGAAATGTGGTCAAGAAAACCGAGAGAGAGACGTGCCAACAGAAGTCCCAATGTTGATGGATTAATAAAAAAAGTCGATTCACTCTACTAAATAATTTGTATGGCGCGAAAATCGACTTTCAGTTG